CCCAAAAGACATGGATTGAGCAAACCCCCTTAGGCGGCCTGGGGGGGGTTGAAACATCATCGGAAGTATTCCCTAGGAGTCCCAGACCATGAAAAGAATGGTCTTTAGGTGATCCGAGTTCAGGAATTCCCGTTACTTGGGTGGTGCCAACAAAATAGTCTTTGACTTCTAGGGTATATATACATGATTGATCATGATTGTAGTTGATGGTGGTTGAAGACCATGTCGTCACAGGCCCATATATGGGGGGAAGTGGTTACCCACTCGTCGAAAGCCCATGGGCTTCGATGCTTCTAAGCACGTCGTTGGGGGGTGAGGGGACGCAAGCTCCACCAGAATTTTTTGACCCTTGAATGCGTGAACGGAATGACTAGGTTCATGATTGACAATTGTTGGAGGCAAGAAAACGACTTGCCGTGACCATCCCCCGATCCTATGTGGTTTGTTCTATGTGCTCTTCTATGCTCTTCTTGTTCGTTTTTTGTTGCTGCAGAATTTGGCTCAGCAAAGATCTCTGAGTTGGGAGTGGCGGTGAGGCAGCACCTGCGGTGATGTAGGAGCAGCACGAGTCGCACGAGTAGCTGCGATGATGCTTGCTCCTCAGCTTTTTTCCGCTTTGAAAAGAGCTGCAGCAACAAATCATGAGGATAAGAGGTGCATTGAACTACGCTACAATACGGTCCTTGTTAGCACCCCACAGGACTCTGCGGACAACCGTCGGGGCTCGTAGACACATGACATTCGATGCAAGTGTATAAGTGCAAAACCATGGAAGACCTTCTGTTTCGCGGAGTTTGTCAAAGAAAAGTACTCCCTACCAGCACCCGACGATAAACAGGTCTCCGACATGGTGGCTGAAATGGAGACTTAAGTACGTGGCTTTTGGGGTGACCTGGCAGGTGTCGGGTGCTGGTCACTGTTTTCATTCGTTTCTTCTTCACATGGCCCATGGCCCAAAACACGTGGCCCGGCAAGTCGCTCTTCATGTCGGTCGTCCCGGCCGGCTGGCTCGCCGCCGGGCCGTGCAGAACACCGGGCGTCTGAACAACGGAGGTTTTGGTCGCCCGCCCATGGGCAGCTCTTTGAAGGTTTGCAGCTCAAGCGACCGGGGGGAACGAAGAGGGCGAGTCTGAGGTTCTGCGAATTGAGCACACCACAGTTGAGGCACACAAGGGATGTTTCGATTCATTCATGTTTTATTGGTTAATTCTGGGGTTGGGCAACTTTTGGTCCTCGTTACTTCTATCTGAATTCGCTGGGACTCGCAAGCTACACACGTCCCTGGACGAGCGACAGAGATGAGCTTCAGCCGCCCAACCGTTCGCTCGCTCCGACGCCGGACTGAGTAGAACTTACTTGGACCTCCTAGTGTCTCTTAGGGTACCTAAGCCTATACTACGTAAAGTGAGACCAGCTCGGTCTTAAGGCGTATAGCCGTCCCCACGAACTCCCCCCGCCCCCAACGGCCATCTCTCCCACCTCGGGCCATCTCTCCCATCCTCCGATCCCATACCGCTCAGATTGGGTCCTCCTTTGGCTGGTGGGTTGCTCCTCCGTGACCTTCTTTCTGCTCCACCATCTCGTGGAAGTCGAGGCCGCAGCCGCCTAAGCTCACACGGTTCCTATGTGTCGCTCCGGGGGGGCTTCGGAGGGGTCGATGATTGGAGATGAGATCCCGGTGGCATTGGATGAAGACGGTGTAGAACCCTCCGAGCAGAGCAAGCGCGAGAGAGAATGGGGAGAGGACTCACCGGCACGACGTGCTGGACAACATCTATAAGATCGAATTCAATCTAATTCATGACGTGGTAAGCAAGCGCTAGATGGTCAACGGCCTGCTGCCTGTTTACAGCAAGTTCACCGAATTGATGGCGTGAACATCTGTGATACACTTCAGAGTAGACTGAGTATCCCTGCCTCTCTTGAACCAAGTCGGCTGCCAGTTCAAAAGCCGAACTCACATGAAGTCACCAAACTCATCGATCTTCCAAAGATCATGGGATTCACCCCCCCCAGACTAAAACACGGGTTCTTCCGGAACCCAACACGGTTTTCTCTTGGTCCTTTCCTTCGACCTTTCCCGGGAACCCTCCCGTTCTCACCCGGCTGCGGGCCGTCTCACCCCGGTGCGGGCCGCCAGGACGGGCTGGGCGAGGCGGAGGAGATGCGCGACGAGGCGTCCGCCCTGCGGCGCTCCACGCGCCTGGAGAGGAGCCGTGGAGGGCGGGACGGAGGCGGAGGAGGCGATGGAGGAGGCTGAGGTGGTGGGTGGTGTGGTGCTGTGGTGGTGGGTGGCGGTCTCGAACTTCCACCATCATTCTCTCTCTCTCTCTCTCTTTGTCTTTCTTTCTTTGTTTCTTTCTTGTTCTTTTTCTTTTTAAGTTACGTACTTAACATCTGAACATGATATTTTGGCCTTCGACTGGGCGTGGCCTGGCGTCGATTTTCCCCCTGGTGGAAGTCCAGCTTGCTGGGCCTCTAGGATGAGAGGACCCATCACCTGGGGTAGCGTCATGGGATCGTCTACCAGTTCTTCAACCGGAAAGGTCACCGGCGGGGGTCCCTGGTTGGGGTGCCCTGGCTCGTTGGAAGTCTTCAAAGACCCGAGAGGTTTGGGAGGTCTCGCACTTCGGCCGCACAGGGGGCCGTCCGCCGCTCGGGCGCCCGCCCACGCGGGCGGGTCCGGAGTGTGGCTCGTCTTCCATTAGTGGGCTTGAATGTGTAGCTGAGCTGGGGCAGATGACCTTTAGCTTTAAATCGGCCATTGGGAGTTCGCCCCCCTACAGCGATCTACAGACAGGTAGAAGAACAGAACGTTTTTCGTGATTTCCTCCCAGGCCATTGGGTCTGCCCATCCAACCCCTGCACCAACAGGACCTATCGGGAAACCCAGCTCAGCATTGATTCGGACAACAGCAGGCAGGGCGCCCACTACTGCTCAGCGTGATGCATTCGTTCGGCAGAGCCACCTGCTGCGGGGTCGGGCGGGTTGCGAAGAAAGAGGGAAAAGTCCAATGACCAGGGCGCGCCTTTTTTTCGATCAGAGAGGTCGCCCTTGACCTGAGATAGGACCCTAATGGGATGGTCTATACCCTAGCAGTCGAAGCACCATTCCCAGTGGGTCAACGCACCAGTTTAACCAGTTCTTTAGTAACGCACCAGTTTAACCGGTGCTTTAGCAAAACGGGTGCTGGAAGCTTGAAAAGGCCGTGAAAAACCCGTGAAGAGGACGTGAAAAACCCGTGAAAAGCCCATGAAAACAGGGTGACAGGCCGTGAAACACCTGTGAACATTGGGTCTTGGAAGTTGGGAGGTGAAATGCGTCCTTTACGCGAACGCACCCGTTTAACCCGTCCTTTGGACTTGCTGGGATTGCTTTAATAGCCTTTACCGAACCACCATTGTTTTACTAATAAGGGTTTTGCACTACAAAACCAGATCCAACCATTTCAAAAACCAGGGTATAGGGTTCCGAAGGGCCTCCGTAGGGTTTGGTCTGGAGGATGATCCCGGCATGTTACATGGCGCCTCCTCTACCGGAGCCTTCGGGGCAGCCATGACTGGGTGAATTTCGTGACTGGGTGGGCTGTTGGCGACAGTGGAACATAGTGGAACCTCCTTCGCAAGGATTCTCCTTCGTGGGGTGGGAGGAAATATCGCGAATCGTGGACCCAGCAAAGGAAAGCCGCCACTCTGAGTGGAAAGCACTCATATAGTTGGGACATCCTGAAGCGAATGACTTGCTTCATCCGCTCAGGAAAGCTGTAGGAGGCCACCACCCGGGCTGCAGCACCTGGGCTTAAGCTTTGCGTCGCCTCGAGGCCCGCGATGCATGCAGCGATTTTCGGCTTCAACCGGCAGCTGACCATCCACAGGCGCCGCCTCATCCGGTCCAGTCGAGACGGCGGCGAGTTCTCTTTTTGGACGAGCCGGGCCGTCGACGGCGCGGTCGAGCGCGGTGTGGACCGAGACGGAGACGGAGACGCAGTCGCCGGACGGCTGGATGGGATCCGGGCCTCGCCTTGGTCACTGGACACGGCCATTCTGGGACTGTCATATGGACCGTATTGAGACAGGGCCAGGGGGTGGTGGGAAAAAAGAACGGGGGGGGTGGTTTTCAGATAGGTACAGGTTCCTGTGGATCCATCCTCTGGGTAGACATGGAGGAGATCTGAGCGACAAAAATGAAAATGGGACTCAAGGACTGGGACGACCCCCGGCTGAGAACTCACGATCCAGTCTAAGACTATGTGACTATGTACTGTACCCAAACGCTCCATGTATGCCGCATGCCATGTATGCCTACATTGGGGTGGTTTTGGGGGTCAATGTAAGCATATATGGCAGTCCCATTAGTCGGGGTAGGACTTGGTGCGGCTCAGTCGGACAACAGTCGGACGACTCAGCGTGCCAAAACGATGGGTGGGTCCATGTGAGTTGGGAGTGTCGTTCTGTGCCGCCGAACTTGGAAGTCGGGCTTGATCCAGATACAGTAGGGCTTGAAACAGAGGCTCCACGCTTGGGACTAGGATGGGGCGATTGTGTGGGGGGAAGAAGTACCAATATTTTCAGGTGCAATTTTTGTGTGTCGTGGGATCAGAAGTGGGCTCATGAGTGGATCCGGCTACCCTCGGTGAAATCGTCAAACAGAGCCCCAGGAGGGGCAAACCAGTCAAGATATTCTTGGATTTTGGATGATTTTGGATAAAGGATCTGATACATATGAATTGAATGAAACATCTATAATTAACTATGAATGTGAGGAAACAATAGGACACAGCTATATGTACGTTGATTCGAAGTGATGAAGACCATTTGGGAGCTGCTTAGATTGAGGGGGGATGGAGTGGCTTTCAGGATTTCATGATTTGGTTTGGCCCAAAGGGCCCGAAGGGTGTTCATTCACCTTCAAAGGGGTCACCAATGGAAGCGCCTACTACTTAGGGACCTCCAGCCAGGTGGATTTGGCACCACTTTCTCCCCCCGTTCCGCCTGCGGGATTCGGGCTTCCCAGGAGACGCTTGGTGCAGGGGACCCTCAGGGAGTGGCGGCCCGTGGTAGCTCCGAAGGACCATTTGGCCAAGCCATCAACATGGTTGATCTGGTTTTGTAGCGTCAAAGTCATGTAAAATCCCCCAGTGGTACAACCTTTGGGGCCACCAGATGTGAAATGAGACCCAGTGAGCCTGGGGTTTCAGCCCATTTGCTTCGTTTTTTTTTCTCCCAGGGTCCCTGGCCTAGTAGTGAACCATAGTGGAGGAGAAGCTTCTTGACGTGGACATGGTATGGTAGCAGGATATAGCAGAACTTGCTGAGGACAACGGTTTCAAAGTGAAGTGAAAGGGATTCCCTAGGCTTCCAACAACCATTGGTTTAATGGTCTGACTCCCGAACCACCGGCTGTTTTACTAAGGATCTTACACTACGCAACCAGGTGAACCGAACTCTTTGAATGGTCGAACGGAAGCCGAACCGGGGATTTGCTGGTGCTTTGGCGCCCAGCCCGGTCGTCCGCGCGTCAGACCTTTAGACCGGTCCGTCGCCCGAGTTGAGCGCTTCATGTGCGTACTGACCACTGAAGTCATTGTCATGATACCTGGCGAATTGGGTGGATTGCAGTCATGGCATGTCATGGCTACCATCCAACATGGCGAATTGCGATGAAACCAGTGATGGAAAGCATGGCGCATTGCTTTCGTGAGTCTTGACTTTTGAGCACCATTGGGTGTTTCGATGTGTTTCAAGGTCTCAAACGTCGGGGGCCGTGGATGGGACGTGACGGGGCACCCAACGTCCGGCACCCTCCATGGAATCGCGCCCGACCGTCCTTCATGTGACTGCGAGGGCCGGTGCGTGGCCTGCGGCGGGTCGGACTGCCGTCGGGCGACGGAAACCAGTGAGACCCAAACGAGCCGAATTGGTGACCCGGCTGAGGCGTTCGCGCATTTGTGCTTATGTCCTGAGCTCAGGGGTGATGATAGAGTTTTGGAGTGGAGGAAGGCTGAAGTGTGGAGAAAGGCAGACTTGGCATGACCTGGCCGGCTGTGATTGACCATGGCCAAGATCATCTACCTGCAACCTTTCTCCTAGACATGGTGTGCCGGATGAGGAAAAAAGGAGGCGAGGAAGCAAGCTGAGGTGGCCCTATTGCTTTTCCTGCCCTTGCTGGTGGAGATGATTGTTCTCGCACCCTGGCAAGGGCAGGCGCTGCAGTGTTTGTACATGTCTTGCTGCCACTCAACAGGGTCAGTTCCCTGTGAAGACACTCCCATGGAGTCATAGACTTGAAGGTTTGGAGGTCATGGTGCCCCTGGTGCCCGGGCTCTATTTGAGCAGTTGAGCATGACACTGAGCAGTAGAGACTGGCGTAAGTTCTTGCAGCATCTCCACAGCTGAGAAGCTGCGAATTGGACCAAGCGTGACGCGCGCGTTGTCGTGCTCGTGATTTTGGCAAGGCGCTGCTCTCCGTGTGGCTCTTCTATGGCAGCCTCTCCTACCAGAGCATCTTCGCTCCTCAGACCGCAGCGGAGAAGCTCGCGAGGTCCCGAAGAAGCCACGTAGCGTGTCGAATAAACGTCCGAAGGCTTGATGGCCTCTAGTTCGATGAGCCACATGTGCACAGCAAGCCGAGAAAGCATGGCCTTGGGTTCCGGGATGTTCCGGGTGGGGTGGGTGCCACACACTCAGGCGGTCTTCGCTGGACACTACGCCAACTTGATCTGGGAGGCGAGACGAAGCCACGGTGTGGCGGGGCAAAGGGTGCGCAGCGACAGAGTCATGTGCTGTTGAAGAACCGACCCATGTGACATCCACTGAGACAAGTTTGTAAGACTTCCTGAAGTCGAAGGGCTAAGAATAGCCCCACGCGTCGGTATTTCATCATGACATGAGTCATGACGTCGGTGGCAGGGGAAACGTTGGAAGTGCTCACCGCTGGCCATGTGTCGAAATGGCCATGGTGTTTGCCAAATAACTTTGAAGCAACTTTGGAGAGGTCCCACGTTTGCTGTGATACTCCGCACACAGCACTCGCCTCCTTTCTCTCACGCGCAGTTCTTCGAGTGCTGTGAAGGGATGAAGGCTCCGAAGTAGAAGGAAAGGCCAACAGCCAATACCTTCAAATGTCACAGGTGAGCAGTCCTGAAGAGTGTCTCCCACACAAACAAAAACACACACATTCTGCCAAATCTTCATTCCACATCGTTTCTATCAGTAGACTTCTACCATTCTTCCCACCTGATCTTCGTAAGCACCCGACCTCTTCGTCCGAGGACATCACCCATGCGAGGCCCTCCCTCGGATCCGGCACCCTCCATCCGCAGAAACGCCAGGATTTCCTCTCCTGTGGCCTCTACTTACCCGGTGGGAACCGGCGGCGGCGCAAGCGCGCTTCGTCGCTGTCGCGGAGCGTCGAGCGTTGAAGCAGGGTTCTTGAAAACTGTGTGTGCACCTGGAGGGGCATCACTGTAGAGTATGAATGGGGTCTGTCCTATTACCTGTAACAGTCAGTAAACAATTATTACTATTTTGAACAAGGCCTTTAATTACTAACCATCATCATCCACTGATCCACTGTTACAGGTTATTAGGATAGACCCAAAGTATGAATATTATCATGAAATCAACACTTTGGAGAAATTGATGACCAATGGTCGTGGGTGCATGGTCAATGCGTTGATCACCCACAGAAATGGGGTACTGTATGTTCCACATCTACTTCCGTGCAGATGCCCCAGCAGAGGTTGTTCTGAACCCTAGTTCGGCTATCGCAGTTCGGTACCCTAGGTTTTCCGGGCCCTATATTGACGGTCACTTGACCTGTCTTGGCCCACAGGTGCCCCCAAAACCACTGGGTTGGCCAAATGCCGCGAGGAGACCCCAGAAACATCGGGACTGCAAGTGACCATATCCCTGCATCCAACAACCACCCTGGAAGTGCAGGACTTTTTGAAACATCCAAGAGAGGTCAAGTGACCTTATATAAAGGATCCTACTGGGGTACCTATGGGATGGCCTAATTATAGGGTTCTTCAACCTCTGTTGGATGGTCTTGAGGTCTTCGTTCGTAGAGGAAGATCCTCGACTTCACTGGTGCAACGGGTCGATCTTGGACTTCTAGGGGTCTAGGGGTCGCGGACTGTAGAGGAACACAGTCATACATACACTGGAAGTGGAACATGGCCACAAAAGGAGGACCGTGCCATATGTTTTCTCTTCTAGCAGGCCGTGCCATCCGCTTCCATGATTCCATCAGTGTTGGAGGGAGGCTGCGCCTGAAAAAAGAGGTTCCTCGAACCTGGGAGAGACCAATCACATGGACCTTTGGATGACTAGTTAGTTGCATGTGTCCTTTAGATGAGTCCCCTCTCGGTCAGTTTAGTTGGACTAGGAAGATGGACCTTCCAAAGTCCCCTCTTCTTTAGTAGAAGGATGCACCTTCCAGAGCCATCTCAGTGGTTTTCCTCCCAGACCTCTTCCGAGCGCCAGGCCCTTCGCTGCCCCGACGCGCCTGGAAGCACAGCGCGGGGAGCGCCCAGCGGGTGGTGTGGTGTGCACAGCAGGTGGTTGGGCTTCTCAACATGATCACGTGGGGAAGAAAAGACACGTGGAAAGCCAGGGCTCGATGATGAAAACGGAGTCTATTTAGTTGATATTGGGGGGAAGGCCAGAGGAGCAAAGAGGGGGGCCAAAGTGAGTGTGTGAGAGCGTTTGTAAACCATTTGTGGGAGAGGATTCTGTTCAGGGAGGGTCCGGATTGAGGCATTCCCACATGCCCTCCGAAAAAACCCGTGGTTTCAGAGGTTCGATGGCACTGGCACCCCAACACGTCCCAGACTATTACAGTATAAACTAGTCCCAAGATGGGACCGACCATCGATCTAGACGGGACCCCCAAGATCTGAAGTAGCTGGAAAAACCGTTTGTGGGGACCGTTCGATGGGGAAGATGGGGAGCCCCGTTCGATAGACGGCCTTTTTTTTTGATTCGAAGAAAGGGTCCGTACCATCTACGACCGGACCTGGGGGCCCGGCTCGAGGTGACGTTGCTCACGTGCGCCGACTCGGACGGCGGACGGCAACGCAGCGCCGCAGTTGGGCGGCTGCAGATGCTTGTTTGCTGCTTTGACCCGTTTTGGGATTGAAGAATGCTGTTTGAGCATCATGCTGTGAGAGCAATCGCTATCAAATTGGATGGCATTTCGGTTACCGTATACACACACATATATATATATATATATATCTATTTATACAGATTGTTCTAGTGTGCACAAGCATACGCACATGCTTGCACGTGTGGAGACTCAAATGCGGCGACGGCTTTGAGTAGACAGACAGAGCAGCCATGGGACTGGAAGAGTTACATTGTCACTGGTGACCCTACTTATTATGTAAGTACCCAGACACTCCATGGGACTGCCATATATGCCTACATCGGGGTGGTTTGAGGGGTCAATGTAGGCATATATATGGCATACATGGAGTGTTTGGGGTATATACTATTCAGGGTACTATTCAGAACGATATTCCGAAAGAACAATGCCCTAGGCTTCCGTTCGACCATGCAAAGAGTTCGGTTGACCTGGTTGCGTAGTGTAAAATCCTTAGTAAAACAGCTGGTGGTTGTCAGACCATTAAAACAGCTGGTTGTTGGAAGCCTAGGGGATGGATGGTTTAGAGGACCGGCAGAGCAGCCTGGAGGTACCAACTTCGGCATTGGCTCTTCCTCTTCCTTTTGGCTGCGGGTGCCCGAATGCAGTTCCCAGGCCTCCGACTGAAGTGTCTTAAGACTTGGAACCTGCAGGCATCAAGTGAGTCGACCATGGTGGCTTGCAGCTGTCGTAGATGTTTGGATCTAGGATGTCCCAAGTCAACACCACTCTGAAGTCATTATGGGCCATGCTTCACATCAAGTTGCGACGCTTCGGTAAAAACAGTCGAGGCGGACGTGATGCCAACGCAGAGATAGCGAGCCCCCTGCCCCCCTGGCCTTTCGACATGCAGACTTTTGAGTCGCAAAAGCTGTGGAGCTGTTGCTCTTGCGCCCCAAAAGAGCTGGGAAGCCCCCTGCACCGTTCTGGACAAGGCTTGGGTCTGCTGGCGCTCCTCTGCGAGGCGCCGATGGAGGATGAGCGGTGGGTCATGCAAGACGGGTCGGTGGGTTTGGTCGGGCCGCCGGCCACACAAGGAGTTTTTTTGATGTTTTTGGTGCGTGGAAAGGTCTACACGTCCTTCGTTTCGGGGGTGTTCAGCCTGTGTTTCTGACTTTTGACGTCTGGTTTTGGAGGATGTGAAGAGGGAGTAGCAGATGCTTTCCCATGATGCAGTTGATATCTGTTCTGCTGGGGCAAGACCTGTGACTGGGAGACTCGGATTTTCCTCCAGCTGCGCTCTTCCCGCCCTCCACCGCTGCGGCTGGTGTTCCGCAGGTGCCGTTGGTCCCGGTACTGTACCGGGAGTCCTGGATGGCCTCCAATAGGCCCGGAGACGACCACACCGGTGCCGGCGGCAAGCTTGGTGAAACAGCCCCGGCAGCCACAGCGAGTTGGGCGAGAGCTATTGGAGTTTGATCGAGTTTCTAGGATGGACTTGGTGAGGCCTTTTGAGGGGGGAACAATGGGGGTTGGCACCTCACGGCCTGAGAGTGAGGAATTTTTCAGACACAACTGGCTGGGGAATGAGTTTAGTAACACGAACCCCTATCAAGATGAGTCTTGGGTCTAAAAGCCATGTTCCAACAAAAGCCCTCCCCTATACCGGACTGGAGAGCCATCACAGGGGTCCATGCCGTGCCAGCAGGCCGCCGTCGTGCTCTGTGACACCACATCGCATCCACAATCCCAGAGTCACGGGACGTCTTTTTTCTCTTTTTAGACATCCCCCCCAAAAAAACTATGGATTCCGTGGTCGAGGGCGGCTCTCTTCCCACACGCCCTTCTCTCCGACACCGATCGTGTGGCCGGTCGACCCGCCCGTTTCGTTCGGTCGCGCCCGTCAGTCCGGGCCGTACACGCACGGGCGGAGGTCGACAGTCGACACGTCGCCAGGCCCGCCGTGTGGCTCCTGGAGGATGCGACCATGGCTTGGAGGCATCTCGTTGGACCGGTCGAGCCCCATGAACTCGAAGCTCAGGGCGGCCGGTTGGCACGGACATGAGGGGGGGGGTGGTTTCAGGGGCCCCTGCTGCACCTGTTGCAGGAACTTCGTGTGTTTGAACTGTGGGTGGAAAGCATGTCCAATCGCAGCCCACTGAGTTCATCAACTACTCTAGGTGGACTGGCACACTTGTGTTTGAAGGGCACGCCTCTCTCTCTCTCTCTTTTTTCTTGCGGGGCTTGGCTCTTGCACTGCCTTGGTCCCGGTCTGATGAGCACGTGCCAAATGATTATATTTGCCCTGCAAGCTTGCGGGAACATGTAGAATCATAGAACTATATTTGTACTATTGAGTACTGATTCGGGATGCTACCGTAGCGGGCGATTGTTTCGTTGAGATCCCTCACATCAAACAGCAGCGACTCGTACTGTTCCTCGAAAGGCTGGGCACGGAAGGGAGAAGCTTTTTCCCGAATGCGTAGCGAAGGGTTCCCGTTTATAGTTGGGGGTCTGGGGGTTGGAGCTGTGTTCGCGTGGCGTGCGTCGTGTCGTCGTCTGTCGTCGTCTCTCGTCGTTTGTCGTCGTCTGTCGTCGTCTGTCGTCGTCTGTCGTCGTCGTCGCGTCTCAAATTTGCTGCCATTGGGGGAAGCTTTTGCAAGTGACTTTGCATGGACGTGTCACGTGTCAGTTTGCGTCGCTATTCCATTGTGATTTGCATGACACCGACATGTCGCGCAAGAAACGTGATACGTTTCGCTGCACAGGTGCAGCGTTTTGTGAGATCCGCAGATTGCTGTGCAGTTCCATTGGGATTAGCGTTTGGAGAGTCGTGTTTTTGGGGTGTTGGATGTGGCCGTGCCATTGGGATTTGCGTTTCAGGGTGTGGCATCGAAGCTCGGTTTTCGTGACAAGTCTCAGCTGAAATGGCGATTTTGGTGGATGGGAGTGTGCTCAGAATGGGTCGAAATCATTCCAAACGTGTGGTGTGGTGCAAATTTTGTTGAAGCTCACAGGAGATGATATTGTCACTTTTCGTGGCAGGCGCAGGACTTTGTGCGGGTTTTGAGGCGTGGAAGTGCGATTCTCGTGGCAGGCGCAGGGAATCGTGAGGTTGCGAGGTGTGACGGAGGTCACATGTCGTGGCAGGCGCAGTACTTTGTGCGCGTTAGACGTGTGGATGGGGAAAGAGTCGTGGCAGGCGCAGGGAATCGTGAGGTTGTGAGTTGTGGTAGAGGTGAATGTCGCTGTCCCATTGGGATTGACGTGTGAGCGGATGTTGTTTGGAGGGGCTGGAATCGCAAAACTATGGGGGGGTACCTTGATTAAATATTCCAGGTCATACCGTGAGTTCACAGAATATTTTTTTCTGGAATAATTTTACAGGAATATTTATGGCTGGAGGTATGTGATACTGATACTGGAGACAAACCCCAGAATATTTTTTGTATGAAGAACATGTTGGAGGAGTGATGAAAGATGGGCAATCCTGAGAAGGCAGGTGGAACTAAACCCAGAATAATTATTTCAAAGAACTAGAATTAAACCCTGTTTGTGAGAAGGAGGGTGGAACTAAACCCAGAATAGTTAAATAAAAAAACTAGAATTTTTTCTGGAATATTAAATTCCTACAACTATTCCACTAACTGGTCAGTTCACAGAATATTTTTTCAGATATAGCTGGAAGTATATAGGAATATTTTAAAAATATTCTGCCAGGTCTCGACGTGGGTAGGTATCTAAGGCACCCGCCATGCAAAACTGCTTGGCAGGGCTGCGTGATGTGTGTGCTCCGATGGGTGTTTCCGCTTGACTTTTGGAGGAAGTCTCGTACGAAACGCTCGTTTTGCAGACTTTGACGTGTGAGTTTTTGAGGAAGTCTCGTACGAAACGCTCGTTTTGGAGACTTGACGCGCAACCCTCTGCGGAGATCGTGCGTGTCGAGTGCGCGAAATGCAGGCGAGAGTGCGATTTGTCCGGTGCCCGCGCAACCCTCTGCGGAGATCGTGCGTGCCAGCACGCGAAATGCAGGCGAGCACTGGCGACTTTGTAGTACAACTTTAGTACGCGGGGTATCTGGGGAGCTGGAAGATGAGAACTGGTGACTTGGTAGTACAACTTTAGTACGCGGAGCAATCTGTGGAGCTGGAAGTTGAGAACTGGCGACTTTGTAGTACAACTTGAGTACGCGGAGCAATCTGTGGAGCTGGAAGCTGAGAACTGGCGACCTTGTAGTACAACTGTAGTACGTGGAGTATCTGGGGGAGCTGGAAGCTGAGAACTGGCGACCTTGTAGTACAACTTTAGTACGCGGAGTATCTGGGCACAAGAGTGTCCCGCAACAGTGTCCCACAAGAGTGTCCTACAAGAGTGTCCCACAAGAGTGTCCTACAAAAGTGTGCCACAAGAGTGTCCCACAAGAGTGTCCTATAAGAGTGTCCCACAAGAGTGTCCCACAAGAGTGTCCTACAAGACTGTCCCACAAGAGTATCCTACAAGAGTGTCCCACAAGAGTGTCCTATAAGAGTGTCCCTTAAGAGTGTCCTACAGGAGTATCCCACAAGAGTGTCCTACAAGAGTGTCCCACAAGAGTGTCCTACAAGACTGTCCCACAAGAGTATCCTACAAGAGTGTCCCACAAGAGTGTCCTACAAGAGTGTCCCATAAGAGTGTCCTACAGGAGTATCCCACAAGAGTGTCCTACAAGAGTGTCCCACAAGAGTGTCCTAGAAGAGTGTCCCACAAGAGTGTCCCGCAGAGTGTCCCACAAGAGTGCCCTACAAGAGTGTCGTACAGGAGTTTCCTACAAGAGTGTCCCACAAGAGTGTCCCACAAGAGTGTCCTTTGGACATATCAGTTTTTCGATCGTGTTTGCATTCGGGTTCGTGGGTTCCATCTTGTTTTTGGTAAAGACACCCGGAAAGAAGTCAAACACTGAAATAGAGGATCTTCTTCGGGTCACCTAAGGACAATTTGTTACATTGTCTTGGACTGCTAGGGAATATATCATATGGATTCATATGGTGTATATGTGGCCTTGATGTTGACCATGGCTCAAGCCTACACCTCTCGATGCTGAAGGCGCAGCAATGCAGGTGACGGCTGTGTCTGGCAACACGATTGCTCAGCTTGATGAGGATGAACTGCATTACATGGTGGAAAGTGGACAACCTGTTCGAGACCTCAAGAGACGTCTTTCGGCTCAGGTTGGGTGCTCAAGGTTTCAGCAAAGACTCTTCTGTGACGTACTTGGAGAATTAGAGGATGACTTGGGTCTACGAACACTGTCAAGTGTCCAGCTGGTAATTCTGCCCTTGTGTGCCCCTCATGACACCATGGAAAAAGAGCTGCTCACAAGCTGCCAGGGGAATAATGTGGCTCACATTGAAAGGCTGCTTCAAAAGCCAATGGACCCGAACAGGGATGGTTTGGCAGTACTCCGAGCATATAGGGTCGTTGCTCAAAGGACTTGTCAAACGGGTGTCTGGGGAGGCGGCTGCCGTTTTAGTGGGGTATGTCCACTCCTGCTACTGTCCATGCTGCTGTCCGTCCTCAGCATTGTCCGTATTGTCATGAGCCCGTGGTCCCTTCCATCGATCATGTGCTGTGGGTTTGCCGGCTTTTCGCTGCGCTGCCGGTGCTGCCGCGTCCTGTTTCCGACTTTGCTGCACGTTTGGGGTGGGGCCCTGGGATGACTCTCGACTCTTGTTTGGACCTTCTTCAACAAATGGGGAACATCCGACACGAAGAGCACACGTTGCGGCGTAGAACCCTGCAGGCAGCTTGTACTCTCCCTGAGGACTCTGCCTAGTGAGTGGCTTTGCGTGTCCTTAACCCGCGACAGGTTGGGACACTCGCAGCGCTACCCCCCTCTTGCTGCCTCGCTTGGGCACTTGGAAGTTGTGCGATTGTTGCTCGAGGCCGGAGTTGACAAAGATGCAGCAGATACAGATGGCTGGATGGCTTTGCACATTGCAGCCCAGGAAGGCCACTTGGAAGTTGTGCGATTGTTGCTCGCGGCTGGAGCTGACAAAGGTGCAGCAGATACAGCTGGTGGTACGGCTTCGCACAGGCCACTTGGAAGTTGTGCGATTTTTGCTCGAGGCTGGAGCTGACAAAGATGCAGCAGATAGTCGGGGTTACACGGCTTTTTGCTTTGCAGCCTCTACAGGCCACTTGGAAGTTGTGCGATTGTTGCTTGAGGCTAGAGGTGGCAACGATGCACCTATTCCAAAAGGTTGGTGGACGGCTTTGACCTTTGCAACCATGTATGGCCACTTCGAAATTCACCGATTGCTGCGTGAGGCTGGAGCTAGTGCTGGAGCTAACCATGATGCGGCACAACAGATGGCTTAGTGGCTTTGCATTTTGCAGCCGGGGAGGGCCACTTGGAAGTTGTACGATTGTTGCTCGAGGCTGGAGCTGAAGATACAAATGGTGATACGATGTGATACGGCTTTGTGCTTTGCAGCCTGCAACGGCCAATTGGAAATTGTCAGATTGCTGCTTGAGGCTGGAGCTGACAAACTTGTGGGAATAACAAGAAACGAGACAACATAAGACAACCCCTCATGAACTCACCCCTCACTACCACATTGCAGCACTGGAGTTCCTCTCGTTGTTGGTTTCCTAACTTAAGAATTGTATTTATCATTATTTATCCACCTTCGTGTAGAATGCGCCAATAGGCCAATACTATTCAAGATTCTGATGCAAAACTATGAGTATACCACGACCAGTGTAGAATGTGTATCTATGCCGATACTATGTCTCATTGGAACTTCTGATTTCAACAAACACGCATTTGTCACTCCGCTGCGGGCCAGCTTTGGACCCCAAAACGGCTGTCTAGCGCAACGAGCTGACAGCACCAGGTCTGTCCATATAGTGGCCACCAAATAGGATACTGTAGAAACAGTTTCCAAAACGTTTTGAGTGGGGATCTATGAATCTACGAACTTCTATCCATACCCAGTCAGTGGATAGCCTTTAATTTTTTTGGGGGAGTGGTTCCCGCGCTAAGGAAAGAGCTGGAACAGACACTCATTGGAACACCCGCTAGGGACACACCAGCGAGAAAGACGTGGCAATTCGAAAAGCTTTCGGGTTGAGCTTCCGCCATGGCGCATCTTCCAGACTCGATGCTTGACTTTCTCTGCCTCCTCTGGCAGGATGGCGCTGCTGGGGCTCTTCTCCATTCGCCTCCCCTTGGCGGTCCTTCTGGCTTCTCGGAAGATGTGATGCCTTGGGAGCAGCTGCTCGCTGCGACCGGAAATTTTTGGTCGCGTCGGTGGCTGGACTTCAACCACCAGTCAGTGGTGGTTTGGTGATGTTTTGTGGGGGCTCGGGTCCAAAAACCCCAGAGTGGTGGAACTCCTTCGAGGTTTGTCTTGGGTTTTGGGGCGGCCTTTCGACGGAGAACTGCGTCCGAAGGAGAGACAGCTGGGTCAAAACCTCACTCTGCCGAATAACACGAACGGTGTCTCTCATCATTTGCAAGAACTCCACTTGAGGTGGTCCTGGATGGACGGAAGATGTTGATTCGGTCGTTTTCTTCTTGGAGCCCCCCTCTTGCCAACCCCCGTTGTTGCCAGGTCCGGCCCTACAGCGGTGCAAGGGGGGGTCGACGACGCACAAAGGTCTCCGTTTCGTTCAGAACTGGCGGTCCTGGTTCGGTGTGGGTTCTCAGTCGCCCAACGTCTCCTACGAGCTCCTCCAGCTGCGCCTAGTGACCTAGTGCTGCTTATGGCTATGCCATAGCCAAATGGACCAAGTTGGAGGGGGGGGCAAGCATGCAACAGCCCTCAAGTTTCAGGAGCTAGAACGGGACACCGTTTGAAGCCTTGGGTTTTAGACCCCTGGAAGAAGTTGGAGGTTAAAGACCCTTCACATGTGGTTTCAAGGAGTAGAGTAGAGGGCACAGACACCCAGATGTCCTTTAGATGGCTATTATATGCTATTATACATCACCTTTCAGGGACCCAGGGATTGTGCCATCTTCCAGTGGCATCTCGACCAAGCCTGACGGGCCCATCCTCCACGGTCGCAGCACCTCTCCTGGAAAAGACCGGAGGCGTTTTGGTCATCGCCTGCTGAGGTGATGACTGGAATCCATTTGGAGCTTCTAGAAGAGTCGCCTGGCGCGTTTCTTTTTAAATAAAAAAAATAACGACGTAATTTTACACAACTGCGGCAAGTCTGGGAGCTACAGATCCCGCAGGATCTACTGTATATATATATATATAATTACTACGGAGGGCCCAGGAGATTTCATGAGCAGCTCGGCATGACCCAAATGCATCCTATAAGCGTTGAGCTTTTCGATATAGAAGGTAAGATTTGGAGGTCACTTTGAGTTGAAAAATCCTCCCGATATTGAATCACAAATCATTTGGTCTCCGAGCACATTCGAGCACGCGAGGGGTTAAGACAGCTCTGAGACTGGATGCAGGATTTTCCGATGGGTTCCGACAAAAAGATCTCGATCCAGTTCAGAGCCGACGGCGCATTTCTGGGCCTGAAGAGACCTTTCTCCCTGAGATTCGAGACTCTTGATCTTGGGAACAGACGACGACAAAGAATCCCCCAGGCCACTGAGTTGAACCATTTTATCAAACCAATCGAAAAAATATATACACGATTCACGATCCAATAAATGAATGAGAATCAAGCAACATCTGATTTATTTCGTAATATAATCGTATGGGTGGTGGTTCTGTTCGCTTCCACCAAGAAGTCTTCAGCCAGACCATCGGGACGATCGGTCGGACCGGTCGACCCCCGGTGCACCTACCCGACCACCATGGTGTCGGGGGTGGTGGGATGGAAAAGGCGATCAGGGGTTTTCCTGGACTCACCAGTCACCGAACTCCGTGGTGACTGGCCGTGTTTGTCCTTCTTTTTTCTGAATCATGAGTCTATCTTAGACCACTGGCCCCTCCGTTCTGAGGTGTTAAGGTAAAAGGGGCAACCTTTCCCACCACTTCCCTTCACGAAACGCACTCCCCATCGCCCCGGAAGCCCGTTCCTGAAGGTCCTTTCCTTTCGCCCACCGAGCCTCCTCCCCACGTCCGACCTGAGGCCGCTGTCCTTGGAGCTTCGGCTGGGCTTCCACGCAGGGGCGCCCCAGGACGGTTCCAGGACCTAGGGTCCTTGGTGAAGAGGTCCCAGGTCTATGCGTTGCATCGTTTGGGTCGGAGGTGGTGTGGCCTTGGTATTTTCAATAAGTAGGAACAGACCACGTCTTTGGGCTCCGAAGTCAGGTTTTAAAGACACGACTTCCGGAGCGAGGCGGCTCTGCTATGCTGTTCACCCTTCGTGTCGGCGAATCCCGTCGAAGTTGGGGTTCTTAAGGCACGACTTCCCTGCAGAGGACTACATGGAACATCATGGGGTCCAAAGGCCACTCAATTGTATGGGAACATGGTTCGACACCAATTCTCAGGTGGTTCGTTTGCGGGTATGCCCTTTTTGTAATCCGCTTTGCATGTAGATGACTAATGATGACTATCAGGTCTCACCGGGTGGCATGGAACGCTACTTCTTGGATTTGGTGTGAGGATTTGCTTGAACTATCTTGAACTGGACCTGAGAAGGGGTAGACACATGTGGACACCGGATAGGTGGATCAAAATATCGTCCTTGCGCCACCGGCGTGCGTGCCTGACGCCAGCCATCAGTCAAGTGAAACTTGAAAACAAACAGATCAAACCAACGGTTTTTCAGTTGGGACCACCAACGTTTCTTTGTTGTGCCGGGTAACTCCCGGGCGGGGCTTTTCCGGGTTCGGAATCCGGGGGCCACGGGCTGAGCCGACCGAGTCGTGAAATCCGCAACGCAGCCCACTGGCCAGCTGCGTTTGACCACCAGGGCTTGAGGGATTTTGGGTTGTTCATCACTGCCATGGGGCACCCATGTCGAAGGTGCGTGTAAGTGGCCCACCTCTTTGAAGGAAGGGGGTTATAGGAGATGCTCACCATGTCCTCGCGTGTAGGTGTCACCAGCATCGTCCCGACATGGCATCCGACGCCGGCAAACCATTTCGCGATGAGAACCGGGCGAGGATGGTTGGCAAGAACCGTGCATATGCGTAGTTCATCGTAGTTCTTCAGATCAAGTCCATTTGGCCTTGTCAAAATCCATTCATTTTCCCTGGAAGTCCACAAATGTCCACAACACCATTATTGATAAGAATAGCTCCTGCTATTGGAAGCCTACAGGGATTTGGCTGTTTAGTGGGGCTAGGCAGTTTTTCGCCACGGCAAGCACCACAATGCTTCAGGTTCCTGCAGGGCTCCTCCTGCTGGGCGGTCTCTTGCAGCTCCTTCTGCTGCGCTTGGAGCAGCTCGGCCGCACCGCGCAGCGCTCGGATTCCACGCATTTTCTCGGGACTCCGTCCGGCACCGTCCGGGCGCCCCGCTGTCCATGAATCCAGCTGGAAGTCCTGGAAGTCCTGGATCCGATGTTTCTGCCCTGTTGAAAGCCTTCAGGTGAACGAATTTAATGGTTCATGCTGGCGAGTCAGCAACCCCATGTCACATGGAGAACATGGGGAACCTCCACCGGGGGCAACATGATCTATACCTTCTGTTGGAATTACAGTGGTCACCAAATAGAACTCCAAATTAACATGGGCAGCAGTGGTTTAAAAGTAGCTTGGCCTTCTACCTTCTGTGGGTAAAAGTAGATCCCCACTTAAGATGTATTAGAAACCGTACCACTACAGTATTTATTGGGGGACCACTATAGGTGCCCCCTGCATCAGAAAGTGGCAGGAGTTCGCCTTTTGTTTTGCCTGAGATGGTCAGCTGCCAATTTGGGAGGAATGCCTTCCATGCTGACGGGTGCGACTCGTAAGGAATGAGGGTGGCTGGAGCCTCAGGAATCTCTATTTGGAGGTCCGTTCCTCATTCCCTACGAGTCGCACAATGAGCCGCACATCTAAGCACCCGTCAGCATGTCGTCCTTCTTTGAGGTATCAATCTGACCGAATCTGGCAACAGCAGGTGCGACCCCGGCCGGGGCCGACCGTCCAAACCGAGCAGAGATGACGACCGCGTTGGGTCGTCGGATTCGACGGTGGCCCAGGTTGTTTTTGGGAGGGCGCGTGAGGGATGGAGGGGGAAACGAAGAGCGTGGCGCTGGCATTTTCCGGCCAGTGATATTTTTAAATATTTTTAAAGGAGCACAATGCTTAAGAGGAGGGCGCGTTTCATGCCGCCAATAATGCTACCCCCGTCGCAGGTCAGTTCGGATGGCATCCGGCATCCTATGCCTTTTCCGCCCTAACCTCATTTGTATTCATTTGTTCCCTTTGGAGCGCCTGGCCAGGCTCGAAGCTACGGCTGGCCCAAGGCCCCCCGTTGCACATGCATTCGTGGCGCGGGGGCGCGTGAAGAGAGCTACTGTGTGAGTAAGATGATGGGATCTGGAGTTCAAGACCGTTTGTTTTGGGGAGGAGGGCCAGGAAAATGGGGGGCCGATCGGAGGAGAAGGATTCTGATTTGAGAAGGGGGGCACAAACGAAGAACTGTTGCTATGAATTACCGGAGGCCCATGATAGAATGGTTCTAAAATGTGCGCATCGAATTCTTTAAAGTCTTCTAGGGGTCAGAAAGGGGTGGTGTTTAGTCCCATCCAGTGAGTGGATACTGGGCACCCCTAACCTCCATGGATCACACCCCTTTGAAACTCTTGGTTTAAACCGTCCTTTCCTTCAACATGAGGACGTTGCGACCTGAGAACGCCGGCCGAACTCGGTCTTGCCCGTGTTGGAAGGTGCTTGTTTCGATGATGGCTGGTTCGACTGGGAATTCCAGAGGAGCAACGAATGGACCGCCATGGCTCATGTAAATTATTACAACTTTAGCGTGGCACGTCGGCATGTTATACATGTGTCAGTATAATATGTGTATGACACATATTCCTTGGCCTCCACCCCGCTCCAGTAGGGCACCGCCTTGCGCGGGATCAGGTGCCGCTCCAACGAGGCACAGAGCAGGAGGAGGCCCTCGAGAAGTCAGGCGCCGGACGCCGGAGTCCGGGAGGTGAGGACTGCGACTCGCAGCCGACCCCCTCGGTGCGAAGCTCCTGGAGTCCGGTCATTGGAAAGAGGTGCCCATGCCAGGGCCCCCCTGGTCTGGGGCTTTCTATGGAATAGCTCCTTATAGAGGTGAATGGAAGGGGGTCTCCATTCACCACCTTCCCGACCATGGGTCCTGGTTGCGCTTCATGACCACCATGACCACCATGACCACCACGCTCCATGACCCGTGCAGGCGGCTCCGGCCTCTTTGATCGGATCTTCCCGAAGAGCAAGAAGCGCAACAGCGCAGGCCGCGGGGACGGTGCCGGGACTCGGAGGACGGGCTGAGGCTGGGTGATTTTGTGATGTAGACTCTTGATGAAGAACACCTGCCCCATATGAAGAGGATGTCCAATTCCAATGGGGTTAATTATTCATCTAAGATGGATCAATGAGTCTAAGAGTCTACATTAGTGGGCGATGTGTTCGTCCTTCGAGCGGGACCGTCGAGGGACACGTCGTGGGTGAGGCGTGGCACTTTTGGTAGAGGGGCCGTCGAGGGAGCTTCCATCTGGGGGGTTTTGGAAGAAGCTCCTCTAGGAATTCAAACTTCTCCATGAAGCACAATCTAGGGTGCAGATGGGTTCCTTGCCGTGTGGAACGGAGGCCCCAATTGACTCAAGAAGATGATCATAGAACCATAGGGGCCCACAATCGAAATTCTTTTTGTTCAAGAAAAGGATCCATTGCCAGGAGGTACCAAGGGGTGCCGAACTTGGAGGATAGAGGTGCTCCTGTCACATCCACTCACTGGATGGGACCAAGAACCGCCCCTTTGTGACTCCTGGTGGAAGCTTTTAAACACCCTGTCTTAAGAAATCGCTTTTCCTCGCGGGCTTGTAAGGCTACAAAAGAGGGAGCATGCATGCTGCAGTGGTGGTGGAGGACGGCGTCCAGCGAGAGTTTTCGTCCAGCGCGGGCCGCGGCCAGCGCGGCCAGCGCCCTTAGCGGCCAGCGCTGCGTGGTTGCTGACTTCCCTCATCTCGGGGGGGGGATGGGAACCGTGGGGCTCACAACTGAACTTTTGAACCTCAGGATTCCTGGCCCTCCATTGATTCAATCGCCGTAAAACACACGCCCCCCTTGCACACGCCGTCTGACATCAGGTCAACCTGAAATTCTTCTTGGAAGCCACCTTGTCACCTGTCCCCACCTTGTCACCACTGATCGGCCAGGAGACCGACAAGACACAGGCAGGGTCCAGAGACCGACCCCCCATGAACGTATGTCGGGGGTGACCTCACGGCAGGCGGCCCTAGGGCCCTAGGGCTCCAGTCATACCGAACCTGAGGAGGTACGCCAGGAGCCCTAGGGCGTGGAAATGCTCCCATTCACCTAGCCTTGACGTGAGTGGTGTTTTCGTTTCGGGGGCCATGTTCCGAAAACGCAGGTCCAACCTGTTTCCAGTGGGGACACTCCGATGGTTCCACCTCGACGACGGTGAAGATGCGGCGTGCCGTGTGACAGTCCGAGACGTTGGACCGTCCCAGGTGGCATCCAGGTGGTTTCAGAGGTTGGCGGTTTTGGACTTCGACCCCTCCAATCAGTCTGGAAAATCTATGGGTTACATATCAAACCACCCAACTTGGACATTTGTGCCATCGAACCTCTGAAACCACTGTAGGTTCATTTTTCTGCTTTTCTATTTTCTTTGATCCTTTTGATCAACAGCACAAAACGCATGGAACTTCTGAAGACCTTACCTGGCTGGTGCCCTCTCCAGGGGACGTAGAACAAACATCACTCGGGCGGAGAAAGAAGGAGGGCCAACGCGGGAACTGAAGCTGGAGCAATCAAGTGGTGCCCATGTTAAAGTCTGAAGTGAAATGCTTCAATTTAGGGAGTGCCCCACTACCAGTAGCAGTCAGGAAAAAATGTGACCACTATCTTGGGGACATCTCCATCCGGCCCTGCTAATGGGACATGCCGATATGCTCAATTCCCTTGGCTCACGGTTCATGGCTTCGCTCGTGCTCAGGAGGGGCAAGAAAAGCACAGAAAGCATGGTGTTTTTCAATGGCTTTACTGGGTCGTACGCCAACCAGACTACACTTCATTCATGTGATTCATGTGTTACGGGGACCCCGCTTTTCATCGTCCATCCTCCACTTGCCGGAACCACCATGGAAGTGGACAAGTCGCCCTATGTTCCTCTACACAGCCGGTGAGGAAAAAAACAAACATACAATGAGCCCCAAAAACGGGTGCCAAACCACCGACTCGATGCCTCCGGCAGCGCGGAGTGGAGAGAGAAGGCGGGCGACGTCGGCGGCGCTGGCGATTGCCCCATGTTGCCCCGTCTGTCTCCGAGGCCTTGCCGGTGTGCACGCTGCACCAGCTGCCGGAGGTTCCCCAGGACGGATCCCTGGATTGTTGGAAGATCTCAGCAGGTGAGAAACGCTCAGGAGCCACAAAGGGATGAGGTTTGGAAGTCAGTCTCCTGTTGTGTTACAGGAGCCTCGACAGCGGGCAAGCCCGACTTCCTGACATGGAACTACACTCCCAAAAACTCACTTGATGTCCTCACAATTCACAATGGTACCCTGAGTCCAACTGTTTTCCTCTAAAGACCCGTAGTTTTCAGGATTCAAGTTCGTTTTCGGCCAAGTACGCTCTGACTCACTAACATGGAAGTGGAAAATGCTCCCACATGGACCTGGTTTTGCCGATCAGGTGTTTTTTTTTTTGGGGGGGGTTTCCCCTAGAGGTACATCCCCCCACCTGGGGAAGTTTTTTCTTTTTTACACGTTCTTTAGGCAAGTGCAAGTTGAAATGCACACTCATGGGCAACCCCCTGTTTGTAGAGGATTTGAAGGGTTCTTTTTCCACGAGGAAAAAGGGCTTCTTACGTGGTTCCATGATTGTTGCAGGGAGGGCACTCACCAAAAATATGACTACCAACATGTGAACACTCATTGAGAACATCTAGGACAACCAAAATTGGTGGAGAGGCATGTTTGGATACAAAGATGATACAAGACCGTCAGTGAGCCCAGAACAGTTGCTGGAACATCCTGCAATTTACCATTCCGTAAGCTACATTTTGGTTTGTGTACTGATCCCTTCGTGTCAACCCAGCCTTGCATGTCATTTGGCACACTTCCTACGCCGTCGCATGATATCAAGGAAGATGTGCCAGACGCGTGCACAGCAGAACCTTCCAAGCGTTTTCAAGCACATCTATAATCCAAAGAATGAGACACAGCGGTACACGATGAACAAGAACAAGATGTGACTATTTTGAAGATCTTTCTTGTTTTCGAGCATGGCGGCTTTTGATGCGGCCTTGACGCTGGTTCCAGTTCCTGCACCTTTGGAGCCACTCCGGAAGTATATCGGTCTGAGCCCATCCCAATTTCAGGCGCTGCAGCGGGGACATGGAGTGGCACCTGATCCCTACAGTGGTCGTTTTGGGCTCCGCGACACGCCGGAGGAGGCCTTGAACAGAGGATACACGTTCAACACGTGGGAGCCGCCCAGCAAGAAGCGTAAGCAGGACTCCGTGGAGAATGACAAGGAGAACCTCGAGCAGATGGCCAACCCCGAGGATGGTGATCCGAAGAAGTACGTCATTGTTGAACTCAACGTCACGGATCTAGGATTCAGGTGGTTGTCCATGGAAAGCCGTCTTCATTTCAACCGTGAAGGTCAATTGCGCTTGTATGGAGCTCTCTTCAACGAGGTGAGGGATGCCGACGGACGCCTTCTGTACCAGGTTGGCGAGCATGTCCAGCAGCCCATCTCCTAGGGCTCTAGGAAGGCTGTTGAATGGATCAATGGATCTATTGTTGCTTTGAAGTTCGACAGAGGCAGGACGCCAGGTCTCATTCTTGACCTCCATTGATCTTTGCTGAGGAGAGTGGCGCTTCGCTATGACTTGGGGAAGGCAAAAAGTCGTGGATCGCAGATCTGTGTGCATTGCTTGGTTCGTGGAATATCCATTGAGGTCTGACATTAGAGAGAAAACCCTTAAACGATGGTGCAAAAGGTAGCTTTTGTAGGCAGGTCGGCTTGGCGGGGTGTGGTGGAGGGGAATGGCTGCAGCCGCATGACTTGAACCCTCAACATCTTTTGGGTTGTCATGGACACCTTCTCCAGCAGGGGTTCCGGAGAGCTACCCGGAGCTACCCAGAAACATACAGGAGCTGAGTAGAGACGGAAGGGCTCGTCCAGTCGCTTTCAGCACCCGTCTCCGCTCTGGCAGACAGTAGGCCAGACCTCACGTCGCGGATGCGCCACCGGTGTTTCCACAGGAGAAGAACGTGGGTGTCATGCAGACGGTGTGTGTGCCTTGGGCAGAGAGGACGGGTCTGCCGAGTCTCTGGCCGACGTGGGGCGAGTCGTGGGCCGATGTCTTGGACTTTCGGAGTTCACTGAAATGGGTGGAGAGGATCATAGATATTCAAGAGGCATAATATATATATATATTAAGATACTTACGTATTTAGATAATTTATAATAGATATTCCTATCATTTCCTGATTCTGCACCATTCCGTTAGTTGCCGTGGGCTCCCCCTCCGCACCTCCTCGTCGTCCTCCCGAGGTCTTGAGCACGCCCATCACCTCGCCGGCCTGACCGAAGCCGAACGCTCCACCGTCGTCGAGCCGGGTCGGACGACCGGTGATGCCCGGACCGATGTTCGGAAGAGAATCGAGAGAATCACTCAGGCTAAGGCCCTTGAGGCCCTTTAGGCGAAGTGCTGTCCGAAGTCAGAATGCAAAAGCTGAGGGAAAAAAACCATCCACAAGACCTGTATTTTTTAGGTCATGAGCCTTTGGATTGAACAACAACAGAAATAGAGCCTAGCCGAGTCTATGCGGACTAGTGCCTGTTTTAGCATGTTTCACAACCTTGCACAAGTCCAATCTCATTTGACCAGTTGGGGCATGTTTGGAGCAAACAGGACACCAATGACGGCCTTATGATGCAAATCACTTCAGATGCTACGACACCGGCGGCATCACTTCAGTTGCCTAGGCGCCTAAGTCATTTGCGCCCATATATGCCTACATTGACCCCCAAAACCTTCCCAACTGATCAGCATATAGAACTGCCGTCGAGATATGGTGAGCCTCACACACGTTCATGCAAAGAGAACTTGAGCCTCACACCACCGCCGTGTACGAAAGCGTCCCTTCTTTTTTGGCCGGTTCTAAGAACCCGACCACGCACGAACCATGTGACGCCGCCCGTGGGTCAAGACGCTCGGCGACACCGAAACCGGTGAGCCGCCCGTTGGACCGGCGATGGGATCTTCCTCTTCCTGGACCCAATAGATCCTAATAGCTTCTTGTTACTAATATAGCAATGGCCTCCAACCTACTTGCAAACTATGTTTAGATCGGGGGACGTCGTCTTTCGTCACCAGTCGGATCGAATCCGGCCGTGGCGAGGCACTCGTGCGGACGTCGATCGGTGACGGAGACGACGAGTCGACGAGTCCAGTGGGGCTGAAGACCCGTCCGGTGGAGCCTTTGACGACCGTTCAAGAGGCCAACAACAGCGTTCAAGACGGCTGTGCCGTCTTGGAAAGGAGGTCAAAAGCTGGAAGTGTGGTTGGATGTGGTTCGTAAAGATGCTCCCTTGTTGGGGGCAACATGGGAAATAGAATACGGGTTCCTGCCTCGATGTGGTGGACCAAACTGAGGCCACTCAAGCCAGCGACTGCATTCACGTCCAAACCACGATCGCCGAGATGTTACAAGATGTGGTCTCAGTGACTGGCGGTGATGCCAACTAGCTTTCTAGGAGGCAGCTTAGGGTCAAAGGTTCCGCATGTTTCACCTGAGTTCATCCCACGCTTGGTGGCTCACCTGGTTGAGAGGTGCTTGTGACATGACCCTGACCCCGGAGCAGTTATTGTCTACATTTGTCTACCAAAGACCTATATGAGAGAATTCACCCCTGAAAGCTAACGTGCTTTCGGGGGGTCTATGTGGTCTACCCTCGCAGGAGGGTCGTTAGTTGCTGTCATCCTGTTGAGTACCTTAGTCCCGACGGAAGTCCAGTTCGACGATCTCTTTGACCGACTGAAGTAAAGGAACGTCTCTAGTCCTGAACTCGGGGTGACCGGGAACGTCAGGACCATTCTTTTGATAGGATCCCTGGACTCCCAGGGAGTGCCGAGTGTCGCTTTGCACCATAGGGCAAGCCACCGAGTGCCGAGCCTGGCCCGGCCGGCGGACTCGGCCCGGCCGAACGAAGCGGAATCGACCGGCCTCATGCCTGGGAATGGGTGGATGCCCAGTGGTCAAAGCTCTGGCTGCTGGGAAATGGTGTTTTTTGTGCCTTTGACCTTTAAGATCTTTGAAGGAGGTATAAAAGTTCAAGTTCGCCACTTTTGGAGTTTGGCCTTGGGACGTTTGTTTGAATCTTCATGGCAGCAACTTCCATCTGCCCGACCAACTCACACCAAGGGTTTGAACAGGAACAAGCACCAATCCACTTTGTGCCCGGAACAAGCTCACCGGACCTGGGCCGAGCAGACGGATGCAACATGATGCAACCATTTAAAAGAAGCTCCGCGCTGCTCATGGGCGGCTGTGGCGTCGCAGGGCTGGAACTCAGACGATTCATGTAAGCAAATAGCACTACCAGGACACCCGGACCAGGGGCTTCCATTGATGGCCCCTTGGGGGTGATTCGGGGTGTTCATCAACCACCCCTTGTGGGTCCTGGTATAGGATCATTGGGGTTTTGGTTAATTATATAGATGTCTTCCCATGTTAAGGTCGGACTTCTTGGTTGCTGCTGGGTACGGAGCTTGATCATTCGTGCAAAGCCACACGACAACGACACCTGCGCACGACACCGCACAACGGCCTGACTGGACGTGATGAACCCGTTTTCGGGGTGGTTCATGGACACCCCGAATCCCGGGGCCAATATTCATTAGACACCCCAAATCAACCCGGCACCCCTGGTAGGCTTAGAATGACTTCGATAGATGTGAGTTGGCCAGACCTAAGCCCTGCTTGGTGGCTCTCTTTTCCAACACTGTGATCCAATGCGCCTCCCATTCGAAAGTTTTGAAAGCATCTAAGACTCTTGATTAAACTAGACGACGAGTGGCCCGAAAGCATTTTTCATCACGTATGAAGTCAGAGTGTGAGTTATGTGTTAAGTGTTCAGCGTGAAGTGTTAAGTCGAGTGAGTTGAGGCAGTGTGAGGGTCTCTGTGTGTGTGTGTATCTATGTCTGTGTGTGTACGAGTCCCTGTCTGTGTGTGTGTGTGTGTGTCCGAGTGCGTTGAGGCAGTGTGTGGGTCTCTGTGTGTGTGTATCTATGTCTGTGTGTGTGTATGAGTCCCTGTCTGTGTGTGTGTGTGTCCGAGTGAGTTGAGGCAGTGTGTGGGTCTCTGTGTGTGTATCTATGTCTGTGTGTGTATGAGTCCCTGTCTCTGTGTGTGTGTCTATGTCTGCTGCTGGTAAGGGGAAATGGTGAAGGTCTTCACTCTAGATACAGTGAACCAAGTAGCGCGCAGGCCTCCCAAACCCCCCACCGGCGGCCAAGCGGTGACAGCTCAGCTCATCTTCGTGAGCATTTGAGCTGCTGGTAAGGGCAAATGGTGAAGTTCTTCACTGTAGATATAGTGAACCAAGTAGCGCGCAGCCAAGTACTCCAGTTGTACTACAGAGTCGCCAGGTCTCATCTTCCAGCTCCCCGGCTACTCCGCGCACTACAGTTGTACTACAAAGTCGCCACTTCTCGTCTTCCAGCTCCCCAGATACTCCGCGTGCTAAGGTTGTACTACAGAGTTGTCAGTTCTCATCTTCCAGCTCCCAAGCTACTCCACGTACTACAGTTGTACTACCAAGTCGCCAGTTCTCATCTTCCAGCTCCCCAGATACTCCGCGTACTCAAGTTGTACTACCAAGTCCCCAGTTCTCATCTTCCAGCTCCCCACATACTCCGCGTACTCAAGTTGTACTAGCCCCTCGCCAGCTCTCATCTTCCAGCTCCCCAGATACGCCCTCTCGCCTGCATTTCGTGCGCTCGACCCGCACGATCTCCGCAGAGGGTTGCGCGCGCAGGGCACAAATCGCACTCTCGTCTGCATTTCGCGGGCTCGACCCGCACGATCTCCGCAGAGGGTTGCGCGCGCAGGGCACAAATCGCACTCTCGTCTGCATTTCGCGCACTCGACGCACACGATCTTCGCAGAGGGTTGCGCGCACAGGGGTCAAATCGCACTCTCGCCTGCATTTCGCGCGCTCGACCCGCACGATCTCCGCAGAGGGTTGCGCGCGCGCCGGACAAATCGCAGTCTCGCCTGCACTTCGCGCACTCGACACGCACGATCTCTGCAGAGGGTTGCGCGCGCACCGGACAAATCGCACTTTCGCCTGCATTTCGCGCACTCGACACGCGCGATCTCCGCAGAGGGTTGCGCGCGGACCGGACAAATCGCACTCTCGCCTGCATTTCGTTCCCTCGACATGCACGATCTCCGCAGAGGGTTGCATTTTCGGTTGACGCTGTTCGTCCCACCCTCCGCCTTTAAAAGAGAATTATAAAGTGGGGAAATGTTTTTCATTAGGACATCTCCCGTGAAAGATGTCAATACTCACACTTGCATGCTTGCACTGGGATTGCACTCAAATACTTACATTACACTTGCATTACACTTGCGTACTTTTGTGCTTGGATACTTACACTTGCATACTTGCCCTTGGATGCTTTCACTCTTACACTCACACTGGGATACTCACACGAACACGCTTGGATACTTCTGTGCCATTGTGCGTATAGAAGTGTAAGTGTGGAAGCGTAAGTGTTCAAGTGTAAGTGTAGAAGTGTCAGTGTTCAAGTGTAAGTGTAGAAGTGTCCGTGTGTAAGTGTAGAAGCGTAAGTGTTCTAGTGTAAGCGTCGAAGTGTCAGTGTTCAAGAGATTTTCCGGAAAAACCCTTCGCAATGCTTTCGGGAAATATACAATTTTCAGTGTAAAACCTCCTCAAAGGCCAAGAAAGCGTTTTCGATCAAAAGTCGCTTGACATGTTGTGACTTCTCAGGCTGGCGGCTGGTTTTACGCTCATTTTCTTTTTTGCCCACAAGGAACTGTTATGTTATAACAAGTCCTTTCGTGTTTTAAACATTGTTTTTCATTGTTTGGCTGAAACCCGCCCACCGGCGCCTGGTCCTGAATCCTTCTCTCCACTTCGGCCGCGCCGCCTTGCTCCAGCGCCGCACTCGTGCGGCCATGAGCGCATCTCCGCGCTTCGGCCGCCGCGCCTCCGCGCGGTCGTCGCGCTTCGGGCCATGTTTTCGCCGGACGCGCTGATCCAGCAAGCGGCCAATGCGGCATGGCGCCAGTTCCTCGTCAGGGACGATCGAGTTGGGACCGGGGCGGAGCGGTGACCGTTTCGTGGCCGTGTGGACTCCGAATTGACCAACCACACATATTGATTATATATACCTGGAACATCCTGGAACCCCAAACAACCAAAAACAAATGGTTCCTTTACATAGTAGGAAATGGTTGGTTGGGGACACATCCATTTCTTTCTGGTTGTTTGGGTTTCCCGGTATGTACATGAAAAGGAAATTTTTCTAGGGGGTTGAATTTATCTAAGAGTCTACCGTACAAAGGAACCGACGACTTGGGGAGAGAGGTGTCGGCTTTTTCGGGATGACGGTCCAGTGGTCTTGGTGCGTCGACTATAGGAAATTGAGTCGACGTCGGACGCATGTTCGGATGAATCGGTTCAGAGCAGAGCAGAGGGGCCAAGGTTCGTTGCATAGACCACTTCCCAGACTCGACCCATGGGACTGCCATATATGCTGATCAGTTAGGGTGGTGTTGGGTGTCAATGAGGTAAATATGCCATATACATGGAGTGCCTGGGCTTCAGCCAAATACCAAGAAAAAACGCATCCAACATACCAAATGGGTCATTGGTTTGGAAAAATGAAACAAATTCGTGCTCGGATTGAAAGTTTGTCTGAAGATCCCTCCACAAGCTGTTAATTACCCAAACACTCCATGTATGCCATATATGCCTACATTGGGGTGGTTTGGGGGGTCAATGTAGGCATACAGGGCATACATGGAGTGTCTGGGTTATGTTATTCTTGTTCGGGAATTCCCCTGCTTTTGACCTCGCTGTTTCATTTCTTCATCATGTTTCATCACTCCCGCAATAGGCCAATAGGCCTCACTCGAGTATATCAAAGTGGCCCTGTGGCTGATATACTGCTAAGATGAATCCATGCCCCCCTTCTCTCTAGCCTGCCGGGTGGACCCTACGAGGCTACAGTACGCGCATGCACAGCAGACCTGGGCTTTTGCGCAGGGAGCGGCCAGGCTGGGAGGACGGCGTCTTTCGTGTTGGCGAGCAAGTCACCCCCTCTCCGCTGGCAGAGTGGGTTCGTCAGTGCCTGTGAGATGTGACGCCCGGATGCCTCTGAACGAGGGGGGCTCCCAAAACCCGGGGCGGGTGTTCAGCCTTCGGCGCCTGGTCGGGGGGGTTGGCAGACCAGACTAGATCTTCACTGCTCACCGTGCTCTAAAAGATTCGACTCCACCTCCCTTCCTGGATTTGTCACGTGAGAAAGACGCTGCCCCAGGGCTCCGGCGGCGCAGGCAGGAAAGGGCGGATTTGGCGCGCGGTCGTCCTTTTCGTCGGATACAAGAACATCTACTTCCTATAGTAGTGGTCTTAATTAGCTCCTCACATCTCCTCGCGAGGGTTTTGGTTGTTTGTTCCATGTCTATAACTTTTCTAGTAGGAGCCAGATCTGACACTCCGACTTAGACTGAGCTTAAAGCGGATCCTGATCTCTGAAGGCGAGAGAGAGAGAGAGAGAGACTGACTCACCAATAAGATAGATGTGGACATCTTCGGCACCTGGAAGAGCACTTTGCTTAACAGCTCATAGGGTGTGAACTCCACTTTCATGTGATCTGTGCGCCGGAGTGTGACCAACATTGGGAGCAAGAAGTCCTTCTTCGCCCACCGTACGCGTCAAGAAGGCGTCACGAAGGACACCAGCGGGTCTTTCACATGCACACGCAGGAGACCCACATGGAACCTGATGGCGACCTCTGGAAGACGTTCCATGCTCCACAGGTTTCTGGGAACCGGTGAACCACCGGCCGCTGACCCGGACCCATGCGCCGCCTCCGCCTCGCGGCAGGCCCCGGCGGTCGTGCCCGCGCGCGTCTCGCCCAAGGGGTCGGGGCTTCTCAGAGTGATCGGATCTGCAGGAGATCGATCCGGGGGGGGGAGCACCACAGTCAGCATCTGCCCAGATGCTCCATACAGCCCGACCGGTCCCTCAAAACCATAGGGATTTGAGGGTCCAGACCTCTCCATATGGGCATATGAGGGTCCGACCCCTGCATATGAGGGGTCAGGAGCGTTTGGGTGGTGTTTTGGTGTTATTTTTTCTGTTTTGCTCGCGGTGAAGATGGCGCCCTTTTCCCTCCAAACCAAATCCATGCGATTGGCGGGGCCCTTGTGCTCGGTCACTGCCCAGCGGATGTGTGTGTTTCCATGGGTGGAACGGGTGGAATTGGTGATTTGGTGAAACCGCTCCCCATCACTCCCCCACAAAACGGTCGATCTCCGAAGTTAGGTCCTCCTCTTTTTTTCCCCTGAGCGGGCGCTTCAGTAGCGGAACCGCTGCGAACCACTAACCCCCAAAAACATGGTGGTATGGCTCCTCTCACGGTGGACTGGTTGGGTGATGCACCTCACCCGGTGTGGGTAGGTCAAAACCTGAACCCCCAAAACCATCATTATCCCTTGTAGTCTGTTCATGTCTGCTCTACTGGTCGGTCTCCTCATTATGTGACCTCCTTCAGAACGGGGCGCGTGGGGTTGGGATGTCGAGGGTTTCTTGTCAGCTGGGCGTCCCATAGATCCCAGACACGACCCGTTTGGGACTGCCAGACGGACTGCCGAGAAACGGCCAGGGGTGGTTGACCTGGGGGGTCAATGTAATTAGGGGATATATGGCAGGTCCCATGGAGTGTTTGGGTATGATGTCTTATCCGGTCAACTGGATTGGGAGCCGTTGGGAGCCAATCGGATGGACCTTCCTCCTTGCGTCAGCTCGGTCGGTAGGGAGCCGAGGCATATAAAAACAGAACCACCGTGGTTGACCACCATAGATGAGCAGAAGAGACTACGTGAGGATATGGATTCTTAACATGTTTCAATAGGGTTCAGCTTGCCCCATCCACCCAGACATGCTCGTTTGAGCTGGGGTGCCCATATCCCAGACGCTCCATGGGACTGCCATAGGACTGCCTATCAGTTGGGGTGGTGGTTTGGGGGGGTCAATGGATCGGCAGTCCGTCCTGGCAGCCCCAAACGAGTCGTGTATGGGTATATGAGGATTCGTCGAACAGTTTGCCTCAGAACAACCTATATAGAGCTTGACAACCTACAGCCCTACTTTTCAGATCGCCCATCCCATATGTACCACATCTCAGGGTCCGAAGGTTCGGAACCTCTCAACCTCTCTTGGAACCTCTGTTGCCCCCGGCCGAACGTCCACCTCTCGGTCCCCCGGCCGAGGTCCCCTCCGACCAGGGCGCCCGAGGCGGTGGAGGCGGACGGGACACCGAGACGGGATGAGAAAACGGTGGAAGCGGCGGTGGAAGCGGCAGTGCCTTACCGAGGTGCAAATGGGACACTTTTAGTTGGCCCATGTGGTTGGGTCTAGTAGATGCTTCAGATACATTATTTCTGCTAGTTTTTGGCCGAAACAAGTCCGGCAACCCATCTCCGAACCCTCTTAGGGTCTTGGGCTTCTCGCCAGGTTGCAGGTACAAGCGGTACATGGAGCTTTTTTGGGGGCTGTTGGGCCAGCGGTACTGCTTCCCTCCGGTCTCGTTGGCCGTTTCGATCGATGTTGGGAGGATTTCCATGTGCGTGACTGAAAGAAAAAGCATTTTCGAAGGTCGGTCAGTCGGTCCCAACTTCGGGCGAAAAGGGAAGGAAGGCTTCTTGTTTAGGAACAAGTAAGGCACTTGCTCCTAGTAGCGTGGCACTTGTTCCTAATAAGGAAGGCATGGGTTCCCAACGGCTCGCGTCTTGCCAGGCCTCGGTGGCCGACGAGGCCGAGGGAGGGAGCTAGGCTGCATGTGGCTCGTCTGTGGCTGAAGTTAGGCGAAGATTTGGAGCTATTGTTCAATGAACCTGCCACCTCTTTCTACCTGCCCTCTGTCGGCGCGTCAGGAAGCATTTTTCCCTCTGTAGGCTTGGCGTGTATCCTTTTAACTTTTCTTTGTCACACTTAGCTGTTGCAGTTCTTGGTGTGCAATGGCTGGATGGGCAGCAGAGGTGTTGTTGAAGCCTATAAGACTTGCCTGATTAGATAGCGACGTGAGCCAATTGGGAGGAGGGAACTGGACGGGAGATTGGGTGTCAAACTAGAGCAACCACCGGTCACTGGTAGGTCCTGGGATCGGAACAGACTAACTCAACCCTGAGAGCGGTGCATTCTTGATTAAAGTCCATGCTACTCGGAGGTAGTGAGTTCCACATCAAACTAGCTTTGAAATTGAACTGCCATGAGCCTTTAGGATCCTTTAGTAGTGTGTGCCATATAGCCTGTAGCAGTCGGCAACGGATTTTTGCTTGAGTACAGATCGATCTAGTTTCTAACCATCATCCACTAATCTACAGCACCCAATCCGAAGGGGCCACACCAGAGGGACGCGTCCCCTCACCCGCGCGGTCTTCGGGCTTGGACGGTAGTTGGGCGCTTGATGTGAGCAAGCAACGACAAGGACCAGCAAGTGCAGCGATTTCTTCGCAAGTCTGGTTTGGAAGCAGATCTTCGAATGCTTGGATGGGAGGCTGCGGGTTTTCTCTCAACACCCAAAAATGCCGTACAGAATTGAACATGCGAAGCAACCGTGCTCTCTTTCGCACTGGGCACCATACCAGACGTCCTCCATACCAGCCGTCCAGCACTCTTGTTCTTCATGATCCAGCTGTCATCCCCTGTCCATCGCCCCCCATCCCGACCCAACTGCTCCTCATCCCGACCGTCCACCGATCCCAACGCTTCCTCCGTCGCGTGCCGCGGCGGGTGGCACGGTCGATGGAGTCGCCGCTGACGCGCTTGGGGTCGCAAGACCAGCTGGGCTCCGACCGCCCGGACTCGTGCCGTGGAGGGAAGGGAGTGGGTGGAGTGGGTGGAGGTCAGTCAGGAGTTGAAAATCTGTTGAAAAAGGGAAGATCCAGAAGATGCATCAGTTCTGGGTGGGGTCTTGGGGTCCTGAAAGATTAGAGATTGTTTTTTTTTTTTTTTTTTTATGGACGAAGATCCTTTATTATCTTTATTGAAGTTCGCCTCAAAGATCTTCAAAGTCATTTGGCCGAGTCATGCCGAGTCCAGAATCATCCGGGATACCAGTGACCAGTTCATTTTTTGGCATCAGACCTTCCGACCAAATGATTTCCGTTCGACCTTCAGATCGAACAGGCTGACTGATGGCCTATCCCAAAAACCGGGCTGGCTTCAGCGCCTGACCCCGACGGATGGATATGGATGGATCACCGTCCAAGGAATCCGACCGCCGAGTCTCCGCAGACGGCACCGGCTGAAGCGGTACCGTCGGGAAGGTGGCCGATGTTGCCGGGACGTTCGGGAGAGGAGTGTTTTTTGTTGTTTTTCTGGCGATGTTCTTGTGTACTACATTGATCTTTCATCTATTTAGGGTCCGCAAAGGCAGCTGCTCATGGGGCCCTGCACGGGCACTGTTGCGACTGGAATCCTAGAGTGGCAACAGGCCAACTCAGACGCGGTAATAGGTGTTTGGAGGTTTTTCAAGGGTGTGGTACTTGTTGCGCAGTGAATGTGACGGTGGAATGACGGCACAAGCTTCTATGGATCCCCGATCGGGCCTTTTAGACATTTGGATGCATGCTCCATATGTTCACCATCGTCGTTCACCATCCAAGTTTGCTTTGCACGGTAGGGTTTGAACATGTTTGACCTTACCCAAAAGGCTCATTGGACCCTCAGTCGGCTAGGGTTTTGACCCTCACAACTAGGGTGAAATGGACCGAACCAACATGTATAGGAGTTGCTTCGGGTCAATGAGCGTCTGGGTCTTGTGCCGGTTGCCAACCATCGCCAACGATGGTCACTGGATCCGAGGCCCACTTATTCGGACAAAGATGCCGAGGAGGAGGAAGCTGCACAGGGATGAAGCCCGGGATGAAGCCCGGGATGGGGGGAAGGGGATGAAGTGGATGAAGTGAAAGAAGTGGATGGATGACAAGTCCGAAGTCCTATTTTTTTGACCAGGCCGGGATGGGGGCGAAGCGGATGCAGCTTGAATGAAGTGGCTTCCCCAGCGGATGCAGTGGTCGACTGGTACCGCCCTGGAGGTCCAACCATCGGTGCCGATGAGGTGGTGCTTCGCTGACTTCAGCGACGACGAAACGCGCACCATCGAACATCTGAAAATCAAGGCCCAGCTGGAGCATTTTAGAGCTCATGAAGGGATCCATCAAAGCCGAAGGCACATTTCAGTCATGAGACCTGGTCTCATTCGAGGAAACGGAGTCTCCGGTGTTTGGACTCTTACTTACCGGTGCGCGGCAACGGGTTTCAACCCCACCTCTATACTGAAAGCCTGTTCATGGAGCACATCCTCACCAGCTCCACCGACACGTTTTCTGGCAATGAGGGGGGGGTCTGTATTTGACAACCACACGTCAGGAAGCTGAACAGGGAGGCCTGACTTGTTCTTTTTGCAGGAGTTGGTGATGTGGCGATATGTGGCGATGTGGTGTCCACAAACTTGTGAATTCAACATGGGTCGCAAGACCTCCAGTTCATTTCAATTGGCCACAGCAGCTTCTTCGCAGGAGGAAGGCGCCGAAGCGGAGGCACGTCGGAACAAGAGGAATGCCCGGATGTGACTTGGCGAATGGACATTTGGGTCCATCTCAGGACACAATGTGACTCCTGACGTCCTGAAGGCCCTGGAAGGTGGTTTCGACGGCGGGTTGACATGGAGAAACAGAAGACGTGAGAAGTCTTGTAGACTTTTGATTTACTATGTGTACCATTGAGACATTATTTTGGGAAGGTTTGTTAATCCACCCGAAAAGATGTAGACATGTGTAGAACTTAGCATAAAAAATACCAGGAGGCAATCAAGACTCTGCATTTCTTTGCGTTAGCTCAATCACTTAGGTTTTTGGTTAGTGTTTAGGCATCAACACTTCTCAGGTTTGTCCCAGACGCTCCGTTCACAGCCCTTGGTCCCTCAACACCTAGGGATTAGGACCCCAGACGCAAAGGATTCGGGTCCGACCCCTCCACATGAGGGTCCAGGGTCGCATCTGGGATGGATGATTTAGGATCGAATGACGTTGCCCTTCGACTGGACTGGCGACGTTGGCCCCCCGTACCCGCTCGCGCGGTGAAGTGATGTGAATGTGCATGACGCTCCGGATCATTGACTGGTGCGACGAAAGTAAGGAATGAGGGTGGCTGGAGCCTAAGGAATCTCCACGTGGAGGTCCTTCCCTCATTCCCTACGAGTCGCACCAGTGAGTAGAGCGTTTCAATGCACGCAGCCACCAACAGAGGTGGTTCTGAACTCCCAGGAACCGGTACCCCAACTGTTCCGGGTCCTATGGACACGGTCCAAACTTGATCAAAATCATTCAAAATCCGTAGCAGTCACATCATTCAAAATCACTTGACCTCCGGCAGTCACCAGTCAGTCACGACTCGTCACGCCAGCTCGCACGAGTCCTGAGGACCCGCACCACGCGCCTTGGGCACCGACGGGTCCAGGCGAACGGGAGAAGAAACGAGTAGGAGAGTAGGAGAGAACGACGGTCCCATGGCCTGCATGTTCCAAAAGCAAGGAAACACCGCATGAGATCGTCATTGTTCGGGGTGCCGAACTTGAGGAGGATAAGGGTGCCCAGAACATCCACTCACTTTGGGACTAAAAAGCCATTCCTTTGGAACTGCTGGGATATCAACATTAGCGGCAAATGTTTGGATGCAGGATGTGGGTTTGCCGTAACGACAGGGCGCCAAGGGCCGATGGCAAACGTCAATTTTTGGTTCGGGAGAGCCTTTTCTTGCCACGGAACTGATAGGGTCAGCTTCTGAAGCCAAACGAGAGAGTGGCGCCGCAAAAACAGAGCTGAGGACTTTGGACAATGCGGAGATGGAAGCCATGATGCTGCGTGGCGCGTATGCTAAAAAAGATCCCTCCTCATCCGGTCCGGACGCAAAAGTGTCCTTCAACGTCGAAACCAGATGTTTTGACACGTCGAGGGGTGAGGTTTTTGGGTGGAAAAGCATCCGAAAGATGTGAGATTGTGAGATTGGTGGTGAGGTTGTGAGATGTTCTTCCACCGATAGACACCAAGGTTGCAAGAGGAGTTGGAGGAGATGGAAGCTGAGCGTGCTGCCAAGGACCTTGCCGGTGCCATGCTGCTATTCTCCCGTGTCAGTTGCGGAGTTTGTCGTTGCAGGGCACAGAGTCGTCAATTTCTGGTCATCCAAAGCTAGACCCTCTGAGTCCAAGACCGTTTTCATCAACATTCATCAACCTTGTTTCCTGATTTCTTTTGAATCTTTAAAGTAAGGTGACCCGGAGAGTAAGTTTTCTTTACTTCGACGTTGCCACATGTAGAGTCCTTGGACTGTAAAAGGGTCTAGGTAGACAGCCCCCTCCCAGGAACCCGCCGCCTTTCCGGACAAAGGAGTTCACTTAGTTCGCCCATCTCAGGGACGAAGCTCGGGACGAGTTGCTTCGGAAAAAAGCGCTCGGCTTTGATGCGTGGGATCCCCAAATCTGGCCATCGTGGTGTTCATAGGTTAGGAGGGCGGAGCTTCGGGTTGTGAAGCTTTAGGGGGGTGCCAGTTCCTCATGGGGGAGGTCGAATGTCAAGGTTCTTGAAGAAAAGCACCTGGGGTCCAGTCCCTCATTGTCCCTCATTCCATCTCATTCAGCAGTGTTGGTACCAAGAGCCACCTAGTGAGCTGGAGTTTAGTTGGGAGAGCCTTTCATAGCCTTTCAATAGAGGCGTCGTGTCCCAACATGCGAGATACTTACAACGTGAAATTACCTTAGATCAGAGCCATGCACACACATTTGCCAGCAAACCCCGCGAAACACCGACAGTGAAAGCGGCCGTTTTTGCCGTGAGGGGCACCCATGTGACGTGAGGGCCGGCGGCAGGAGAGACACCTCCAAATGTCGCAGAAGGCGGTGCCCTGGGTTGCTCGGTCGGTGCGGAAGGGGTGGAAGGGGCGGAACCCTTATTGGGCGGATGGCCTTCCTTGGGCGGAAACGGGAGCCTAATTGGAGAGTGCGCATGGTATGCGGTGCCATGGCATGCGAGTGCGCATGTCATGGCATGTGTTAGCATGTGGTAAGTAGGTATGGACGTAATTACTACTTTCGTACGATACGACACATGTGCAAGCTCCAGCACTGCAGGTGCTGTTCCTTCCTTGTTCTGCCTCATTCTCTCATTCCCCCTTTGCTCCTGATGCTTGGAGCCGCGCCCCCCGGTCGCGGCTCCAAGCGGATCAAAGACTTTGGACATGTGACGAACATCCTGGGAGACATCTTGGCTGTTGGGGCTGGAGTGGATGGAGAACTGGGCCTCCACCTCCTCCAAACGCCCGCGCCTCCGGCTCCGCTGGGTGTCAAGCACCGTCCTACCCATCGGGTGGTGCCTCGGTGGTCAGCAGCTCAGGTGGAGACCCAGTTCTTTGCCATGTTGATGGCTGCAGTGGTCTTAGCCAACTCCGTGGTCATCGGCTGCCCGGTTTGTTTTTGTGCGTGCGCATGGACATTGGAGGACTTCGGGACATGGGATGAAGGAGAGAAGCAGAAAAAGGTGGGGTGGGCAGCTGATCCAAATGTGGCCGGATTAGATTGTTGAGGTATTTGGTTATCCCTGTGGATGTCTACAAGAAGTGGGAATCCATCTCCTGGGTGAGATGATGCAGAAGCTAAGGTTGAGCACGAGCACGAGTCATGCATTTTGGCGCTTCGTCCACGATAGCTACCGTTTGCCGTGTTTGGAAGCAGGTAGCAGCTGCAGCGATAGATATGACAGCCCGCAGAGATGCGCAGAGTGGAAACAATGTTTGGGGAAATGCATTCTGCAATATCACGAAAGCTAGCATTTGCCTCACTCCGCTTGATGTCCCACCAGTCCGGATGCACCCCTGCTAGCTTTCGTCACCTACCCTCGGCCTCAAGTTCTGCAAATATCAAATGTGTTTCTTGATCCATTAGAAGACTCGTCGTGCAAGAGATGTGCACGAGAGACACATCCAAGCAGTTTACTCTCCCTGGAACTAACATGGAAGTGGAAAACCACCTGTCTGTAGTGGAACATGGTCTTCCAAGGGGCCATTCTCCACTTCCATGTTAGTTCCAGGGAGTGTACAGACAGCAGAAAGGACATTCCAAGTTGGAACCCTTTGGATCGCCTGGGCCACCAGGCCAACCTGAAGAGGACGCCCTCCAGTGGATCCGGCCAGCTCCCTTCACTACGGTAGACTCGGTAGACCCTTCCAAAAAAGCCTCCACGACATCCACGCCAGGCTGTGAGATTTTCATCCCCAGACGCTCCATGTATGGAATATATGATATGCCGATCAGTTGGGGTGGTTTGGGGGGTCAATTGATCGGCATATATTCCATACATTGGAGTGTATGGGATCTATTTTAAGTTTCAAGGGGTTTTCTTGTCGAACATGGCGACGCGTTCTCACGACAAGGATTCGGCTGCAGCGGGTCACGATGGAATCAGTGCCGGGTCACTGCAGCTGCGATGGAAAGATATTCCACCATCCAATGGGTGTTCAATGGACCACCCTACATTACTTAGGGATCTCTATTGGACACCCGTTGGATGATCCAGGTTGGTTTGTGCCGTGCTCATCCCAATTTCAGCCGCTGCAGGCAGGCCACGGGGTCAAGCCTGATCCCCACAGTGGTCGTTAGTGTGTCACCCAGCCCGAACCGACCACTGAACAGGGGATTCGCCTTCAACGGGTGGGAACCCAATGTAAGATGGATTTCTTGGAGAAGGAGAACCTTGAGCAGATGGCCAACCCCGAGGATGCTGGTCCAAAGAAGTATGTCACCGTTGAGCTCAACATCACTGATTTAGCATTCAGGTGGTTGTCCATGGGAAGCCGTCTTCATTTCAACCGCGAAGGCCAATTATTGCAGATATATGGTCCATGTAGCTGCAATTGGCCTTGTATAGTGCTCTCTTTAATGAGGCGAGGGATGCCGACAGGCGCCTTGGGAGGCTGATCCTGAATGGATGGATCAAGTTCTCATCGTTGGAGACACAGGTGGGCAGTTTTTTTTGGAAATTCATTGATCTTAGACTAGATTGATCTTAGACGAGTGGGATCAATCTAGACGAGTGAGGTCAACCTAGTCTAAGGTCAATGGATTTCCAAACATGCTGCCAACCTGAGGAGAGCGGCGCTTGGCTACAACTACGGGAGGACACATACGTTGAGACATACCGCGCACGAGGTCAAACAATGGGATGAGTCACGAGGTGTCCTAGGCTTTTCCTGAGAGCCTCTTTCCTGATCAGCGCAGATATTCGCAGATGCTACTGATGCTACTGCTACTTAATTCATGTGACTTGACGGCACTGTGTTGTGTTGACGGCACTGTGTCTCAGGGGATTTGCCTTGTGCCGATTTTCGCAGCCAATGCATGGATCTTTGAGCAGCACTTGGGGAAAAAAAGATCTAACGTAATTGGTGGGTTTCCGGACACCTCCTCGTCCTCGTTGGCCTCCTTTGAATGTGTCGATCGTGTCCGTTTTTTTGGGTCAGCAGGTGTCAGCTGTATGGTGCTTCGCCTTGGAAGAAAGGGAGTCTACTAGAGATAGGATCCCAGCGGCAGCCTGATAAAAAGAAAGAACCTCCTCCACATGGCATTGTATTTTGAGGAGTTATGTGGGAACACCTCCCCAATAGAAAAGGACAAGGTGAACACCTCCGCCAAAATGATGGGAATCCACGCTCGTCCTTGTTTTCTCTCCCTAGCACGATGGCACGAGAAGGCTTTGCAACACCACCGGAAGACCCCCCCCACGCTACACACTACAGCAACGACCGAATTCACGCGATGGAGGGCTTGAAGTCCCAATGGCTGGGTGCTGCGATCGCCCTCGCCATCGCTTTCGTGCTGTGGGGCTCTTCCATCCTGGCGGCCTTGACGCTGCTGGCGGTGCTTCTGGCCTTAATCTTCCAGCAAGGACGGGACCAACCGCTGGTGGCAGGCTCCAAGAGGGCCGTATAGGTCGGTCCATGTCATGCTCGAGCCATGCAGGGTGCATGCATGCGCTGAACCCGGCAAAGGCGTGGAAAGAACGCCAGAATTGACGGGCGCCCTTGGCAATAAGGGTTGACCTGCTTGAGGAAACCAATCAAGTCGTGCGTCGATGGCCATCTCAGATCATGCTTTGAGCCTCAAGACTCGCAGATGCCAAGATTATTCCGTTGGTTCTTCCGCACTCCTCCCAAGACCTCTTGGAGGACTGCCGTTCGCCGCTGAACCTGCGCCGAACCGCGCCCCCCCCGGGCACGGCGGCCGCCGTGGCGCTGGCCGCGAATGCGGAGGTGGAGGGCTTTTGGGGGGCGGGTGTTTTTCGTGAGCTCGAGGGAAGGCCTCGATGTGTGGAGTATTGGAGCAGATGGTGACAGTTGGAGGGTGCACATAGTCAGAAAAGGTCTGAACATGAGATTGGGCAGTACTGTGCCATCTCTCCATCGATGAAGTTGGCCTATGACACCCTCAAAAGGATCCGCTAGTCAGAGTACCTGTAGCGGATCAGAAGCCAAAAAGATCCGAAGAGGAGTCCAAGGAGGAGTCCGGAGAGGCTGCTTTCATTGCTTTGGTTTATTTTTGTTTCGCACGTGTGGGTCCATGCACGGCATGAACTGCAGGAACGCCCTAGTTCTTGGCAGTGTTTTTGGTGTCTCCAGTGTTGCAGTAGAGCTGGTGCATGGACTCTGTTACCTTACCCCTGGTGGGCGTGCATTGGATTGGAAGAATGAGATCCATATGAGATCCTCCAAGTACTGGGCTTGACTTCACATTATTCACATCTCTCATTTTGCCAGCGGCTTATGAGGCTCGTAGCGGGTCTCCCTAGTTCAAACACGTCATGTACATCCATACCTAGGGTCTGTCCACCTAGAGACAGGCCTGGAACCTAACCATCATCATCCACTGCAGTTACTGGTAGTGGGATATACCATAAGCATGTGGTGGGAGATACAGGAAGGTCGAGGAAAATCATCATTCTTACTGACCACAGTATATTTGCATATATTTCCACATAATGGGGAGACCCCCACGCCCACCCAAAGATGTTTTGGCGACTTTACCTTTACATGATATACCCAATCCATACCACAGTTCTTGTGCTCCTTCGGGTCTTTGTCGGCGCCCAGGCAACGCCCCAGAGTGCGCCTGCGGCGAGCAGAGAATCCGAGCTCAAGAAGAGCTGGACGGAGAGTGTGACGAAGCAACGCAAGAGAACACCTTTTGGGTTTTGGGCTCTGACCTCTTGGTTTGGAAGAGACACGGCAGCAAGCCTTAGAAGCGTAGATGTGTATATATCGATGTTTCTATGCCCACCCATCTTCAGACACCAAACCACCGGTCGACTCCGCGCAGCCAGCCGTGCGCCGGCCTCACTCCGCGTGCGCCCGCGCTCCCCAGGTGATGCTGGCCGACACCGGCGTGGCCATGCCGGCGGCGCAGGTGGCGCGCGCGTGGTTACAGATGGTGCGCGGACACAAGGAGCGACGACGGTCGCGTGGACCCGCCGACACCGACCGGATGTGGTGGCCCCGCCGGCGGCGGACCGTGGCGGTTTTGGAATGGCAGAGCCACTTCCATGATTGTTTTGAGTGTAGCAGCGCTTAGCAGCCACTTCCAGCACTGGAAGACGTGCGCAACGGAGGTGATGGCCCACCGTTTCAAGGGGTGCTTTGGATGGCCCATCCAAGCATTGTCCCAACGGATGGAACCCTCCTTCTCTCCAGTGGACCTCATCTACATGGTATCACTGATATCTGTATCTACCCATCATCGTCCATTTGCACCGACCTCGCCCAGTGACCGACCTGACCGACCTGACCGACCTCCCATCTGCGTCGTCCTCGCGAGGATCCGGAGGCCGCTCGCGCGGGCGTGGAGCGCTGCCCGGAGCGCAGTCCGCCGCCGGTGCTGCGGACGGGCAGCTTGACGGACCTCTGCGGGAGTTTGACCGAAGGGGAGTCCGACCAGCCCAGTGAAGCGACGCCTAAGGCACGGTCCGGTGATGTGTGGAGCTGTGAGGTGTGGGGTGAGCTGGGGGACATGCAACTGGACGGGTTGAGCGGCAGGAAGGCAGGAAGGGACTGTAAGTTGGTGATGGAGTGGCACTTGAGTAGGCCGCAGCTCGTGAGGAGGTTTTTGAGCGACGGGAGATCAACACGAAAAAGTCGGTTTAACATGTTTAACATGAATCATTGTGATGTGAATCGTCGCACACGCATCCTGAACCCTGCCTGCTTCTCTGGTATGCTGTGTTATTCCCAAATGGTAGGGGCAAGTCAGCCATCACCTACACATACAGGTGGCTGGCCACGCCATTTTCTGCATTTGTCTTGGATTCTGCCGTTTTCCTGACAACAACCCACCAAGCCATGCCACGTAATTAACATCCTTAGGAAGAATTTCAAGATCAGGATGGCATCCACTCGTCAGCTTCTGTGCAGGG